GCACTCCTCTGGCGTACCGGAGAAGAGCCAAACTTTGGCATGCCATAGGATCGCCCAACTAAGGCTATAGTTAGGCACCGTACTTTGGCACTGATGAATGCCATGGTGCAAAAACCTAACTGCGCCAAAGTTGGGCCCTTATGTTTGCCCGACCTTTGCCCAAGTTGGGCATTCCTCTGGCGTGCTACCTGGGGCAATACTTGTCACAAAAAAAGAGGTATAGGATTTTATATGCTTTTGAGTCAATGATGACAGCAACACCTGAGCTTGACGTGTATCGGTGGCCTTAACTGCGGTGGGCATATCCAGCATCGACGACCACAGTTATGTACGGCAATCCATCCTCAGTGTAGTCTCCGGATTCGCACACCATTCTGTGCTCTTCTTTTCCACCCGTGTCCATTTCAGAAAGCAAAATGTCTTCATATTTGCTGAATGCTGTCGGCGACATGGAAGGAATGTTCAGGAGAGAGAATATTTCTTCTATTAAGCTGAACCCATTTCCGGAGCATAAAGTGCCCATTGCAGCTGCCTCCTTTATGTTGGTTTACTTCAAGTGCTTAATTGAAATGACCCATTCTTCGTTGCAGTGCGTGCACACAAACGTAAATCAAGAGCATAAAGCCTGCCTTAGCTCATGTGCAAATCGAAAAGTGCCACTCGTATCCTCGGGCAATCATGGCATTCAAGTTTAAGGATTTTGGTAATGAAATACCCAACTGAAACCATTCTTCTACCTTCGACCCGAGTGGAAAAGTGCAAACCTGAACTGTGTATGGTAGGTTAATATTTGAGATGCAGGTGGAGTTTCCATTGCTTGGATTTTTGACGATGATGCTGGGCAGATTGAGTAGACTCGAGGTTGATGAGCTTGATGATGGCGTTGGCATTGGTTCAGAACAGGTTGTTCGGTTTGACACGGAGCTGTGAAATGGAAACGAAACATTAGCAAAATATGTTAATATAAATTTTAGCATCGTCACATCGAGCTAACAAAAAAAATCACGAGTATTCTTTCATTATTCGGACTTACACGCGATCTCACGTCGTGTTTATCTGCGAAATAAAAAAAAAACCTGCTACATTAAATAAATTAAAAAATACGGATAAAGTTTTTTTTTTGTCTTACTGAAAGCCACATGGTCCTTCCTTTTTCAGGCAGACGAGCTTAGAAAACAAACCAAAAGTAAATTAGGCACTACACCACAGCCATGAGGTCGGGCTCCCCATTTATTGCGGGATGGTTAGCGCTGTAGGTGAAATATTTAGCCCGTAATATCGCGATCAATATGAGTGCGAATACCGCTCCGCGTGGCCCGCGGTACTATCAGTGCCCCCTGGCGATTGCTCTTTCAAGTATAAGTGCCTATTGCGGTAGAGACATATCGTCTCCGGCGATCGCCGCACCACTTTGCACTTCCAGGTCATCTGCTAGCGAAAAACGGTCGGCGAAACCGCGAAGCTTTTCACCAATGACGAAGCGCATTTCTCGCTAGCAACGTGCGCCAGCAGAAATAACTTGTATAAATATTTTTAGCGTCATCTATTTGCTTGGGGTGTTTTAGTAGATTATCCCAATTACTCTGATAGCAATACCCGATGCTCCTATGACGCCTTTAAGCATACCTCATATTATCGGCGGTATCAAAACAATCAACTAAGACTGCCTATATTACTTCCTTCGCATGATTCTTGCGAGAGCAAAGGACGTAGGCAAAAAGTTAGCGCGGTGCGAGTGTGGGTGATACTCTTCACCATGGAAAACTGCACGAAAGAAAAAAGCGACGCGGACCTCCCGTGCGTTTCTTTTACGTCATCGTCGTTTTTCTGCGATGTTTGCCATGATGAAGAGTATCACCCACGCTCGCACCGCGCTAACATCTTGCCTCTGCGCATCGGTGGTCCTTTGCTCTCGCAAAACTCAAGCGAATGAAATAATAGGCAGTCTTAGTTCATTGTTTTGATGCCTCCGATAGCAATATTATGCATGCTTAAAGGCACCAACGAAGTATCGGGTATTGTTATCAGAGTAATGGGAATAAATATTTATCTATGCTATTTCTGCCTCGGAGTAATGAGAATAAATATTTATCTAAGTTAATTCTGCTGGCGCACGTTGCTAGCGAAAATATGCACTTCGTCATTGGTGAACAGTCTCGCTACTTCGCCGACCGTTTTTCGCTAGCAGACGAGCCGGAAGAGAAGAGTGGCGCGGCGATTGTTAGAGACGATATGTCTCGACCGCGAACTGCGCTTCAAGGAGAAATCGCCAGGGTGCACCGATAGTACCGCGGGCCACGCGGAGCGGTGTTCACACTTTTATTGCTCGTGATAGTACGCTGTGAAACATAGCTTGCGGTATTTTACAAGCATGACACAGTAGTGTTACAAGACCACACTCTCAAGAAAAAAGGGTGTCAAAAGGTGTATCGTTACGCCCTTTGTCCCATATAATACACCCCAAAATTTCAATTCGATGTACAGCGCCCTACAGTCGATCAGACGGCCCGAAATTTCACGAGGGGCTTGATAGCCGTGTGGTACAACATTTGAAATAGCTAAAGTACGTATCAATGACCACATAAAGAAAACATCGCGTTCTTACAGTACGGCCAAGAAAACCCCGATTATTTTTTTTTGTTGTCAGTAAAACGTACATTAGCTATTTTAATAAGTTGTAGCACACGGCTATCAAGCCCCTCGTAACATTTCGGGCCGTCTGTTTCACTGTGGGGCGCTGTACGTCGAATTGAAGTTTTGGGGTGTATTATATGGGACAAAGGGTGTAACGATACACCTTTTGACACCCTTTTTTCTTGAGAGTGCATAGGCCGGTGCGATGCTCATCAAGATTGAAAGGGGCACGCGCAGAGATCGAGCCGGAGATCCCTGCTTTCCGCAGTGCGAATATTTTGCCGTCTTTGAGGCATGGTGCGCCCCAAAATACACAGGCGGTGGCGTTCTCTGCCAATATAGTATTGTCATGAAGGAATAGGCGAGGAAACAAAGAATAACGGAGGAAACTAAATGTTTAATGGGGCGAACTTGTGCCCGAACGGAAAGGAAGAAAGGAAGAGCGTCGCCAGCGTCGAAGTCGGCGAGAGAGCAGCATTGAACGCTTGGGTGAGACTGACTCCGCTCGCCCTGCGGAGTCCCTTATGTACCCTCGTGGGTTTCTGAATCATTCGGCGTAGAACTTTCGATGCGTAGAACATTCGGAACTCGATCTGACAAGAATGTTCTCAAACTAACGAGAAGGGCAGGTTGAACGAGTAATTAAAAGGACAGTCCGTCGGCTGGAATCGAACCCTGGCTTTCTGCGTGGAAGGCACGCCCGATAACCATTAGGCCACGAGAGCGCTGCCTGCTTAGCTTCGATCGCGGCAGTATTAAAAAAATTGAACACGCTCAATTTCAATATTCTAAAATTATAACTATTCAAAATATAGTGACGATTGTGGGAATTAAAACACATTCTGATCATCGTTTGGTTGTCAGTGAATAAGGATACCTTTGTCTGACTGTTGAAACCTCTCAACGCCCAAAAACCGTTGCATTTCCGGGTGGCCGTTCTGGTAAACAGCTGCTGGAATGAGCAGCTTGCAACAAATTCTAAACTAGAGCACTGCACGGGCTGGAATTCCCAGGTCCGTTTGACCCGCCCAAATGGGTACACGGCCCGAGCCCGGCCTGGGCTACAAATGTCCTTAAAATGTGAGCCCGAGCCCGACCCGGGCCCGTCAGGTTTTTACAATCTAAATACGAGCCCGGCCCATACCGCCAGTTTCACAGACGTGATCCTGGTTAAGTTTTCCTCCCCAACCTGGCAGGTTCGATATAAAAGTGGGCCGAGTCGTGTTTTGAAAATTTTAAAACGTTTCCGCGTCCGACATGGATTGGTTGGCTTGGCTGGCCCCGGCTTTGCGGGTCGGCTTGGCCCGAAATATTTTTGTAACAATCTCGAGCCCGGCCCTGGCTTGAGAGATACATACGCTTCGCGACCCGCCCTCGGCCCGTGGGTCGGTCGGGGCTTGAGTTTTCGGGCAGGCCGGGCCCCGTGCAGTTCCTGTACTCTATATTCTCCCACCATAGGTTCTTTCAAATTATTACGTTGCCTTCGTCCGATGAAGACGCACATACTTTCCAACATTACAGCACATCTTACCTCCCCAGATCTGTAGAGATTGCTTTCGCTGCTGAAGCGGCAAGCTTATGGCAGTGTCTTTTTTGCTGTTGATTGGAATATATAACTATCAGCGCTTTACGTTAGTTTCCGTGGTCCAATAGACATCCGGGGCTAACACCTCCATCGGCTATCTGATCAGCGAGATTGTCGCCTGTGGCGATTGGTCAAGTGCCGCGCGTCACATATAACAAACGCTCTCAAGATTGTGAGGTTCGTCATGAAAAAACGAGGCAGACTGAACGTCGCCATCTGCAGATCTCGCAAATTGTTTCATGACCTTATCGTGGAGCAAAATATTACATTTTTAGTTTGTCTACCCCAGCGATGTACCAGAGTGGTCCGATAAGTACTTAGCCTACAAAAGAAAAACAAAAATTTTGAAAAAGTGGCGATTTATTTCTCTTACACTTTACCCAGCGATGCTCCAACTTTTTTAACCCATCTAAGAAATACGTTTTCTCGAGGTCTGCAAAGTAGGCTTCCGTGCCGGCGATGACCTCCTCATTCGACTCAAATTTCTGCCCGGCGAGTTACTTTTTCAAGTTTGGAAACAAAAAGAAGTCGCACGGGGCCAAATCTGGAGAATATGGTGGATGGGGCAGCAGTTCGTAGCCCAATTCGACCAATTTGACCGTGGCGAGGGTGGAGGTGTGAGCCGTTGCGTTGTCATGGTGGAAGAACACTTTTTCCTTCGCTAAATGCGCCGTTTTTTCTGCAATTCGGTGTCGAATCGGCCCAATAATTCGCCATAGTACAGCCCTGTGACCGTTTCGTCCTTGTCCAAGTAGTCGATGTAGATCACACCTTGTGAATCCCAGAAAACGGTGGCCTTCACCTTTCCGGCCGATAGGTCAGTCTTCGCCTTCTTTGGAGCACGTTCGCCGCGTGAAGTCCACTGATTCGACTGGTCCTTCGTCTCCGGTGTGTACCAGTGGATCCATGTTTTGTCGATGGTCACGAAACGACGCTGAAACTCTTTCAGATCGCGCTTAAACAGCGTCAAACACTGCTCTGAAGTGGTCTCACGGTTGCGCTTGTTGTCCGGAGTGAGCAAACGCGGCACCCATCGCGCCGACAGCTTTCTCATGCCAAAAATTTCATGTAGGATATAGCCCACGCGGTCTTTTGAGATGCCTACTTTCTCTGCTATCTCGCGCACCTTCAATCGGCAGCCTGCCAATACGAGATTGTGGATTTGTGTCACATTATTCTCAGAGGTAGCCGTATTCGGGGCACCTGGGCGTGACCCATCAAAAACCGACGTGCGACCACGTTGAAACTCGTTAAACAAGTTTTTGACGGTCACCATCGAAAGAGAAGAGTCACCGTACACAGAATCCAAGCGGTCTTTGATTTCACTGCACGAATTTTCTTTCAAAAACAACAATCGAATCACCGACCGATATTGCTCTTTTTCCATTTTTCTAAAATTCGCTCACACGCCCGCTTTCAGATGCGGTAAAAACAAAACTACGAGTCCGATTCGGTTGAAATTTTGATAGTAGCCGTCTACGAGAATTTACTACACAATAGCACATTTTTCTTGTGATAGTGGCGCCATCGGGCGGTGAGGCTTATCGGACCGTCCTCGTACAGCACGGCTATCAGGCTACGGCCCGCCGGGTCCAACCACGAGCTCGTTAGGAACCACCTGCGTATTCACGAAACAATATAACGCGTGTATTTTGAATTTGCTCATGATTGCATCCGACTGGCTGCAGCTAGGTGTTTAGCCCATCGCAGTGCACGATCAAGGGTACGTATTCGATGGTTATTCAAAGTGCCACAGAAGGTATGCCCCTGCCCAACACTTATGAGTTCTCTCTTGCTTCATTGAGGCCGTCTGTGTCGCCAAAGTAAGGGGCGGCGGCGCCTCCCTTTACATGTTGTCTGCGGATTTTTAACGTCTTCGCCCTCACTTCTAAGAAGTGGAAATCGAAACCACACACTATATATTCTGTCCGTACCTTACACAGCTTCGACTTCGTGTACTTGAGCTTAGCTGCGCTCGAAGCTAGCGTAAAACGAAGAAGTGATGCCGCGCACCTCTACAGCGGTTGCGCGAAATGTGTAAACTAATTTTTCTTACGTCGCAATTCAATTTTATGTGCTGTTTGTTATGTGCGAACCCCTAGAAAGTCCACAAAAATACAAACAGCAACAACAGCTACACTGCCAAATACACGCTCGATAGTTAACCGCAAAACACAAATTTGTAATCCCACGTTATTTTTCATCTTTGACGACCCGCGAAAAGGTAATCAAATCACGCCAAATAAAATAGTGTCCTGAGTTATTTTGTGATTCTTTCTTTTTATTTACTATGTGTATAGTAAGCGACAGCTCCTCCAGCCCTGTAATGCATTTACCAAACTGAACATTGCAGAACCGGAAAAAATATAGCGCTGAACGTACTCATTTTCTCGCTAAAAATAAGTACTCAGAGCTATTCTGAAGTAGGTTTGGACCTCATGGTACTATAAAACCTCCATGTCGATAGGTGTTCCCCATGCTCTATGTTTTTTAAAAAGTAAACAGCTAAGAAGCCTGGAACCAGGCTCCCAACAAAACAATAAAAATAAATGCTTTTGTGCTAATTATTGGCGTATTATAGATCAAAAAGAAAATTGTGATTCTGTCATTCGCAAGCTTAAACAACTAGTGGTATAATATTAAAACGTATTAGTAGGCATAAACCAGGACCGCAATAACAAAAAAAAAAAAAGAAAACTACAACAGATGTATAGTTTAGCGACTTTTTAGCGACTTCCTGGCGCTTTTGTTGGAGTTTTCTTTCTATCCCAATCGGACGGATGCTTTCACTGCAGGAGGGCCGGCGTAGTCCTATCGACGTTCGACAAAGCTGGGGCACGTAATTTATTTCCAGGCTGATTCGCCCAAGAAAAGAAAGTGCTACGCGCCATTGCCAAAAATAAAGATTTTGTTTTTTCATAGAGACCCCTAAGATGATGATCGAAGCATCAAAAAGGGAGTAGATACATAAAAGACAAAAAAGTATGAAAAACAAAAAGCGACGCTCTTGGGCGCGCGGTGCCGTCGGTTATCAAATCCTCCATCTGCATGACACCGCAAACAAACCGGATCACCGGATTGCACTTCGTAAAAGCATCACGATCGGAGAAACTAAACAATGACCAGGGATGACAAAGTCAAGGAGAAGGCAAAATGCACACTCTATCGAGGCGCCAACATACACGACTTTATCTGCTCATGTCTAGGTCTGGATGACGATGCGAGCGCCATCTGTTTTTCTAGAATCACACTAAGTGAAGGTGGGACTTCACCTTAAAAGCTCTGATGTTCAGCTGCGCAGTGTCGTACAGGTTACTCAAACCTTATGTATATGTAGAGGATCAAATTTGTAAAAGTTTTCGAAGTGCCGCCATATTCACTTCCTCCAGCTTCCGCTGATCACCGAAGCTTTGCTTCAGTAGGTGAACGGCATCGGCATAGCACGCTTCTGTTGCAAGTAGGCTGGCAAATGCCACTGCGGCGCCTCCAGTGAGGTAGCGGCGCCAATAATAGTAATTATTTGTATTGACAACGCTTGATTGGAGTGGATTGTTCCTTTCAACTGTTTCCAGAGGGTGCGCAATGCGTTATGTCCAATCTGAATGCAGTTATATCTAACTTCGGTAGCTAAGATGCAGTCATCCTGTGGACTCAGGTATACTGGGTGTAGTCCGTCCGGTCGCGGGGAGCGTGCGACGTCTGCAAATCTAGAATTCCTCAATCTCAAAACAGAGTTCAGCAAAAAACAAGTTGGCCTGGCTTTGAAATTCGTAGCTGCTGTGCACTCGACCTCGAACTCCTCAATCAGTAGTAGCGGCTATAACACCTCGTTTATTCTGTCCAGCTCTGCGTTAGTTTTAGTAAGGCGTTCTTTTATCCAGATGAGTCTGGTCAGGTCCATTTGAGGGTTGTTCAGTAGTTCGGTACCGTCGTTTATCATACCGGTGCTTTGGGCTCGTAGAGTGGTAGGGTTCGCTTCTTATTTTAATACTGCGATTCGTTAGGGTCGATCGGTTATTGCTTGGTTACAAGAATTCTTCCTGAAAGGTATTCGCGTTACGTTACCAACGGTTTGCCTCCGCCGTTAAAGTCTCCAAGTACCACATATAGGATTAGCCCCGAAAGTCCCAAGTAGCTGGGAAAGTTGCAGCGTTGTCTTGGCTGGTAGATGATGTCGTGAATCAACCTCCCGGGCTGAGACACTGAACTGTCAAAGATCTTTTCCGTTTTATGAAGTAGGACGTCAAGCAATGATTTCCATACCGTTGAATTAGTTTTGCTCGTACTGCCCTAAACTTTCTACTTCATATTCATTCCTCGCTTCGTCTTTTTTCTTCTTGAATCTCAACAGCCGCTAGAGACAAGCGCACTACAGCGTCTATAGACACGAGTGCGGGTACGCAGACTACAGCATCGGCAGATGATGGGAATGTCATAAACTCTAAACCATCCACAAAGGACCAGGCGGGTACGCCAGCTATAACAACCGGAGAGGCCGGTGAACAAAAAGAAATTACTGAATCAACAGAAGGAGTAGATTATATGAAAACAACAGCATCAACAAAAGGCGAGGAAGGTAAAAAAATAACAACCACCAGAGAAGTCGGTGAAGATATGCAAACTACATCATCAACAGAGGCCGGGGATGCTATAAAAATTACAGCATCGACAATGGTCGAGCCGGGTACGCCAACTACAACAAGCAGAAACCGCGGTGAAAATAATACGCGAATTACATCCATAACAGAGGCCGGAGATGTTATAAAATCTACAGAATCAACAATCGTCGAGCCGGGTGCGCCAATTACACCAAGCAGAGATGGCCGTCAATATACGCAAACTACATCATCAACAGCGGCCGGAGATGTTATAAAAACTACAGCATCGACAATGGCCGAACCGGGTGCGCCAACTACAAGAAGCAGAGATGTTGGTGTAAATACGCAAACTACACTATCAACAGAGGCCGGAGATGTTATAAAAACTACAGCATCGACAAAGGTCGAGCCGGGTGCGCCAAATACAACAAGCAGAGATGTTGGTGAAAATACGGAAACTACACTATCAACAGAGGCCGGAGATGTTATAAACACTACGGCATCGACAATGGTCGAGCCGGGTGCACCGACTACAACAAGCAGAGATGTTGGTGAAAAGACGCAAACTACACCATCAACAGAGGCCGGAGATGTTATCAAGACTACAGCATCGACAATGGTCGAGCCGGGTGCACCGACTACAACCAGCAGAGATGTTGGTGAAAAGACGCAAACTACACCATCAACAGAGGCCGGAGATGTTATAAAAACTACAGCATCGACAATGGTCGAGCCGGGTGCGCCAACTACAACAAGCAGAGATGTTGGTGAGAATACGCAAACTACACTATCAACAGAAGCCGGAGATGTTATAAAAACTACAGCATCGACAATGGTCGAGCCGGGTGCGCCAACTACAACAAGCAGAGATGTTGGTGAAAATACGCAAACTACACTATCAACAGAGGCCGGAGATGTTACAAAAACTACAGCGTCGACAATGGTCGAGCCGGGTGCGCCAACCACAACAAGTAGAGATGTTGTTGAAAATACGCAAACTACACTATCAACAGAGGACGGAGATGTTATAAAAACTACAGCATCGACAATGGTCGAGCCGGGTGCGCCAACTACAACAAGCGGAGATGTTGGTGAAAATACGCAAACTACACCATCAACAGAGGCCGGAGATGTTCTAAAAACTACAGCATCGACAATGGTCGAGCCGGGTGCACCGACTACAACAAGCAGAGATGTTGGTGAAAATACGCAAACTACACTATCAACAGAGGCCGGAGATGTTATAAACACTACGGCATCGACAATGGTCGAGCCGGGTGCACCGACTACGACAACCAGAGATGTTGGTGAAAAGACGCAAATTACACCATCAACAGAGGCCGGAGATGTTATCAAGACTACAGCATCGACAATGGTCGAGCCGGCTGCGCCAACTACAACAAGCAGAGGTGTTGGTGAAAATACGCAAACTACACCATCAACAGAGGCCGGAGATGTTAAAAAGACTACAGCATCGACAATGGTCGAGCCAGGTGCGCCGACTACAACAAGCAGATATGTTGGTGAAAATACGCAAACTACACTATCAACAGAGGCCGGAGATGTTATAAACACTACGGCATCGACAATGGTCGAGCCGGGTGCACCGACTACAACACGCAGAGATGTTGGTGAAAAGACGCAAACTACACCATCAACAGAGGCCGGAGATGTTATCAAGACTACAGCATCGACAAAGGTCGAGACGGGTGCACCGACTACAACAAGCAGAGCTGTTGGTGAAAAGACGCAAACTACACCATCAACAGAGGCCGGAGATGTTATCAAGACTACAGCATCGACAATGGTCGAGCCGGGTGCGCCAACTACAACAAGGAGAGATGTTGGTGAAAATACGCAAACTACACCATCAACAGAGGCCGGAGATGTTATAAAAACTACAGCATCGACAATGGTCGAGCCGAGTGCGCCAACTACAACAAGCAGAGATGTTGGTGAAAAGACGCAAACTACACCATCAACAGAGGCCGGATATGTTATCAAGACTACAGCATCGACAATGGTCGAGCCGGGTGCACCGACTACAACAAGCAGAGATGTTGGTGAAAAGACGCAAACTACACCATCAACAGAAGCCGGAGATGTTATCAAGACTACAGCATCGACACTAGTCGAGCCGGGTGCACCGACTACAACAAGCAGAGATGTTGGTGAAAAGACGCAAACTACACCATCAACAGAGGGCGGAAATGTTATCAAAACTACAGCATCGACAATGGTCGAGCCGGGTGCACCGACTACAACAAGCAGAGATGTTGGTGAAAAGACGCAAACTACACCATCAACAGAGGCCGGAGATGTTATCAAGACTACAGCATCGACAATGGTCGAGCCGGGTGCACCGACTACAACCAGCAGAGATGTTGGTGAAAAGACGCAAACTACACCATCAACAGAGGCCGGAGATGTTATCAAAACTACACCATCGACAATGGTCGAGCCGGGTGCACCGACTACAACCAGCAGAGATGTTGGTGAAAAGACGCAAACTACACCATCAACAGAGGCCGGAGATGTTATCAAAACTACAGCATCGACAATGGTCGAGCCGGGTGCACCAACTACAACAAGCAGAGATGTTGGTGAAAAGACGCAAACTACACCATCAACAGAGGCCGGAGATGTTATCAAGACTACAACATCGACAATGGTCGAGCCGGGTGCGCCAACTACAACAAGCAGAGATGTTGGTGAAAATAAGCAAACTACACTATCAACAGAGGCTGGAGATTTTATAAAATCTACAGCATCGACAATGGTCGAGCCGGGTGCGCCAACTACAGCAAGCAGAGATGTTGGTGAAAATACGCAAACTACACTATCAACAGAGGCCGGAGATGTTATCAAGACTACAGCATCGACAATGGTCGAGCCGGGTGCACCGACTACAACAAGCAGAGATGTTGGTGAAAAGACGCAAACTACACCATCAACAGAGGCCGGAGATGTTATCAAGACTACAGCATCGACAACAGTCGAGCCGGGTGCACCGACTACAACAAGCAGAGATGTTGATGAAAAGACGCAAACTACAACATCAACAGACGCCGGAGATGTTATCAAAACTACAGCATCGACAATGATCGAGCCGGGTGCACCGACTACAACAAGCAGAGATGTTGGTGAAAAGACGCAAACTACACCATCAACAGAGGCCGGAGATGTTATCAAGACTACAGCATCGACAATGGTCGAGCCGTGTGCACTGACTACAACCAGCAGAGATGTTGGTGAAAAGACGCAAACTACACCATCAACAGAGGCCGGAGATGTTATCAAAACTACAGCATCGACAATGGTCGAGCCGGGTGCACCGACTACAACAAGCAGAGATGTTGGTGAAAAGACGCAAACTACACCATCAACAGAGGCCGGAGATGTTATCAAGACTACAGCATCGACAATGGTCGAGCCGGGTGCGCCAACTACAACAAGCAGAGATGTTGGTGAAAATACGCAAACTACACCATCAACAGAGGCCGGAGATGTTATCAAGACTACAGCATCGACAATGGTCGAGCCGGGTGCACCGACTACAACCAGCAGAGATGTTGGTGAAAATACGCAAACTACACTATCAACAGAGGCCGGAGATGTTATAAACACTACGGCATCGACAATGGTCGAGCCGGGTGCACCGACTACGACAACCAGAGATGTTGGTGAAAAGACGCAAATTACACCATCAACAGAGGCCGGAGATGTTATCAAGACTACAGCATCGACAATGGTCGAGCCGGCTGCGCCAACTACAACAAGCAGAGGTGTTGGTGAAAATACGCAAACTACACCATCAACAGAGGCCGGAGATGTTAAAAAGACTACAGCATCGACAATGGTCGAGCCAGGTGCGCCGACTACAACAAGCAGATATGTTGGTGAAAATACGCAAACTACACTATCAACAGAGGCCGGAGATGTTATAAACACTACGGCATCGACAATGGTCGAGCCGGGTGCACCGACTACAACACGCAGAGATGTTGGTGAAAAGACGCAAACTACACCATCAACAGAGGCCGGAGATGTTATCAAGACTACAGCATCGACAAAGGTCGAGACGGGTGCACCGACTACAACAAGCAGAGCTGTTGGTGAAAAGACGCAAACTACACCATCAACAGAGGCCGGAGATGTTATCAAGACTACAGCATCGACAATGGTCGAGCCGGGTGCGCCAACTACAACAAGGAGAGATGTTGGTGAAAATACGCAAACTACACCATCAACAGAGGCCGGAGATGTTATAAAAACTACAGCATCGACAATGGTCGAGCCGAGTGCGCCAACTACAACAAGCAGAGATGTTGGTGAAAAGACGCAAACTACACCATCAACAGAGGCCGGATATGTTATCAAGACTACAGCATCGACAATGGTCGAGCCGGGTGCACCGACTACAACAAGCAGAGATGTTGGTGAAAAGACGCAAACTACACCATCAACAGAAGCCGGAGATGTTATCAAGACTACAGCATCGACACTAGTCGAGCCGGGTGCACCGACTACAACAAGCAGAGATGTTGGTGAAAAGACGCAAACTACACCATCAACAGAGGGCGGAGATGTTATCAAAACTACAGCATCGACAATGGTCGAGCCGGGTGCACCGACTACAACAAGCAGAGATGTTGGTGAAAAGACGCAAACTACACCATCAACAGAGGCCGGAGATGTTATCAAGACTACAGCATCGACAATGGTCGAGCCGGGTGCACCGACTACAACCAGCAGAGATGTTGGTGAAAAGACGCAAACTACACCATCAACAGAGGCCGGAGATGTTATCAAAACTACAGCATCGACAATGGTCGAGCCGGGTGCACCGACTACAACCAGCAGAGATGTTGGTGAAAAGACGCAAACTACACCATCAACAGAGGCCGGAGATGTTATCAAAACTACAGCATCGACAATGGTCGAGCCGGGTGCACCAACTACAACAAGCAGAGATGTTGGTGAAAAGACGCAAACTACACCATCAACAGAGGCCGGAGATGTTATCAAGACTACAACATCGACAATGGTCGAGCCGGGTGCGCCAACTACAACAAGCAGAGATGTTGGTGAAAATAAGCAAACTACACTATCAACAGAGGCTGGAGATTTTATAAAATCTACAGCATCGACAATGGTCGAGCCGGGTGCGCCAACTACAGCAAGCAGAGATGTTGGTGAAAATACGCAAACTACACTATCAACAGAGGCCGGAGATGTTATCAAGACTACAGCATCGACAATGGTCGAGCCGGGTGCACCGACTACAACAAGCAGAGATGTTGGTGAAAAGACGCAAACTACACCATCAACAGAGGCCGGAGATGTTATCAAGACTACAGCATCGGCAACAGTCGAGCCGGGTGCACCGACTACAACAAGCAGAGATGTTGATGAAAAGACGCAAACTACAACATCAACAGACGCCGGAGATGTTATCAAAACTACAGCATCGACAATGATCGAGCCGGGTGCACCGACTACAACAAGCAGAGATGTTGGTGAAAAGACGCAAACTACACCATCAACAGAGGCCGGAGATGTTATCAAGACTACAGCATCGACAATGGTCGAGCCGTGTGCACTGACTACAACCAGCAGAGATGTTGGTGAAAAGACGCAAACTACACCATCAACAGAGGCCGGAGATGTTATCAAAACTACAGCATCGACAATGGTCGAGCCGGGTGCACCGACTACAACAAGCAGAGATGTTGGTGAAAAGACGCAAACTACACCATCAACAGAGGCCGGAGATGTTATCAAGACTACAGCATCGACAATGGTCGAGCCGGGTGCGCCAACTACAACAAGCAGAGATGTTGGTGAAAATACGCAAACTACACCATCAACAGAGGCCGGAGATGTTATAAAAACTACAGCATCGACAATGGTCGAGCCGAGTGCGCCAACTACAACAAGCAGAGATGTTGGTGAAAATACGCAAACTACACTATCAACAGAGGCCGGGGATGTTATAAAAACTACAGCATCGACAATGGCCGAGCCGAGTGCGCCAACTACCACAAGCAGAGATGTTGGTGAAAAGACGCAAACTACACCATCAACAGAGGCCGGAGATGTTATCAAGACTACAGCATCGACAATGGTCGAGCCGGGTGCACCGACTACAACCAGCAGAGATGTTGGTGAAAAGACGCAAACTACACCATCAACAGAGGCCGGAGATGTTATCAAGACTACAGCATCGACAATGGTCGAGCCGGGTGCACCGACTACAACAAGCAGAGATGTTGGTGAAAAGACGCAAACTACACCATCAACAGAGGCCGGAGATGTTATCAAGACTACAGCATCGACAATAGTCGAGCCGGGTGCACCGACTACAACAAGCAGAGATGTTGGTGAAAAGACGCAAACTACACCATCAACAGAGGCCGGAAATGTTATCAAATCTACAGCATCGACAATGGTCGAGCCGGGTACACCGACTACAACAAGCAGAGATGTTGGTGAAAATACGCAAACTACACCATCAACAGAGGCCGGAGATGTTATCAAGACTACAGCATCGACAATGGTCGAGCCGGGTGCACCGACTACAACAAGCAGAAATGTTGGTGAAAAGACGCAAACTACACCATCAACAGAGGCCGGAGATGTTATCAAAACTATAGCATCGACAATGGTCAAGCCGGGTGCACCGACTACAACAAGCGGAGATGTTGGTGAAAAGACGCAAACTACATCATCAACAGAGGCCGGAGATGTTATGAAGACTACAACATCGACAATGGTCGAGCCGGGTGCGCCAACTACAACAAGCAGAGATGTTGGTGAAAATACGCAAACTACACTATCAACAGAGGCTGGAGATTTTATAAAAACTACAGCATCGACAATGGTCGAGCCGGGTGCGCCAACTACAGCAAGCAGAGATGTTGGTGAAAATACGCAAACTACACTATCAACAGAGGCCGGAGATGTTATCAAGACTACAGCATCGACAATGGTCGAGCCGGGTGCACCGACTACAACAAGCAGAGATGTTGGTGAAAAGACGCAAACTACACCATCAACAGAGGCCGGAGATGTTATCAAAACTACAGCATCGACAATGGTCGAGCCGGGTGCACTGACTACAACAAGCAGAGATGTTGGTGAAAAGACGCAAACTACACCATCAACAGAGGCCGGAGATGTTATCAAGACTACAGCATCGACAATGGTCGAACCGGGTGCACCGACTACAACCAGCAGAGATGTTGGTGAAAAGACGCAAACTACACCATCAACAGAGGCCGGAGATATTATCAAAACTACAGCATCGACAATGGTCGAGCCGGGTGCACCGACTGCAACAACTACAACAAGCAGAGATGTTGGTGAAAAGACGCAAACTACACCATCAACAGAGGCCGGAGATGTTATCAAGACTACAGCATCGACAATGGTCGAGCCGGGTGCGCCAACTACAACAAGCAGAGATGTTTGTGAAAATGCGCAAACTACCCCATCAACAGAGGCCGGAGATGTTATCAAAACTACAGCATCGACAATGGTCGAGCCGGGTGCACCGACTACAACCAGCAGAGATGTTGGTGAAAAGACGCAAACTACACCATCAACAGAGGCCGGAGATGTTATAAAAACTACAGCATCGACAGTGGTCGAGCCGGGTGCGCCAACTACAACAAGCAGAGATGTTGGTGAGAATACGCAAACTACACTATCAACAGAGGCCGGAGATGTTATAAAAACTACAGCATCGACAATGGTCGAGCCGGGTGCGCCAACTACAACAAGCAGAGATGTTGGTGAAAATACGCAAACTACACTATCAACAGAGGCCGGAGATGTTACAAAAACTACAGCGTCGACAATGGTCGAGCCGGGTGCACCGACTACAACAAGCAGAGATGTTGGTGAAAAGACGCAAACTACACCATCAACAGAGGCCGGAGATGTTATCAAGACTACAGCATCGACAATAGTCGAGCCGGGTGCACCGACTACAACAAGCAGAGATGTTGGTGAAAAGACGCAAACTACACCATCAACAGAGGCCGGAGATGTTATCAAAACTACAGCATCGACAATGGTCGAGCCGGGTGCACCGACTACAACAAGCAGAGATGTTGGTGAAAAGACGCAAACTACACCATCAACAGAGGCCGGAGATGTTATCAAGACTACAGCATCGACAATGGTCGAGCCGGGTGCACCGACTACAACCAGCAGAGATGTTGGTGAAAAGACGCAAACTACACCATCAACAGAGGCCGGAGATGTTATCAAGACTACAGCATCGACAATGGTCGAGCCGGGTGCGCCAACTACAACAAGGAGAGATGTTGGTGAAAATACGCAAACTACACCATCAACAGAGGCCGGAGATGTTATAAAAACTACAGCATCGACAATGGTCGAGCCGAGTGCGCCAACTACAACAAGCAGAGATGTTGGTGAAAAGACGCAAACTACACCATCAACAGAGGCCGGATATGTTATCAAGACTACAGCATCGACAATGGTCGAGCCGGGTGCACCGACTACAACAAGCAGAGATGTTGGTGAAAAGACGCAAACTACACCATCAACAGAAGCCGGAGATGTTATCAAGACTACAGCATCGACACTAGTCGAGCCGGGTGCACCGACTACAACAAGCAGAGATGTTGGTGAAAAGACGCAAACTACACCATCAACAGAGGCCGGAGATGTTATCAAGACTACAGCATCGACAATGGTCGAGCCGAGTGCGCCAACTACAACAAGCAGAGATGTTGGTGAAAATACGCAAACTACACTATCAACAGAGGCTGGAGATTTTATAAAAACTACAGCATCGACAATGGTCGAGCCGGGTGCGCCAACTACAGCAAGCAGAGATGTTGGTGAAAATACGCAAACTACACTATCAACAGAGGCCGGAGTTGTTATCAAGACTACAGCATCGACAATGGTCCAGCCGGGTGCGCCAGCTGCAACAAGCGGAGATGTTGGTGAAAATACGCAAACTACACTATCAACAGAGGCCGGTGATGTTATCAAGACTACAGCATCGACAATGGTTGAGCCGGGTGCGCCAACTGCAACAAGCAGAGATGTTGGTGAAAATACGCAAACTACACCATCAACGGAGGCCGGAGATGTTATGAAAACTACAGCATCGACAATGGTCGAGCCGGGTGCGCCAACTACAACAAGCAGAGATGTTGGTGAAAATACGCAAACTACACTATCAACAGAGGCCGGAGATGTTATAAAAACTACAGCATCGACAATGGTCGAGCCGGGTGCGCCAACTACAACAAGCAGAGATGTTGGTGAAAATACGCAAACTACACCATCAACAGAGGCCGGAGATGTTATAAACACTACAGCATCGACAATGGTCGAGCCGGGTGCACTGACTACAACAAACAGAGATGTTGGTGAAAAGACGCAAACTACACCATCAACAGAGGCCGGAGATGTTATCAAGACTACAGCATCGACAATGGTCGAGCCGGCTGCGCCAACTACAACTAGCAGAGGTGTTGGTGAAAATACGCAAAGTACACCATCAACAGAGGCCGGAGATGTTCTAAAAACTACAGCATCGACAATGGTCGAGCCGGGTGCGCCAACTACAACAAGCAGAGATGTTGGTGAAAATACGCAAACTACACTATCAACAGTGGCCGGAGATGTTATAAACACTACAGCATCGACAATGGTCGAGCCGGGTGCACAGACTACAACAAACAGAGATGTTGGTGAAAAGACGCAAACTACACCATCAACAGAGGCCGGAGATGTTATCAAAACTACAGCATCGACAATGGTCGAGCCGGGTGCACCGACTACAACAAGCAGAGATGTTGGTGAAAAGACGCAAACTACACCATCAACAGAGGCCGGAGATGTTATCAAAACTACAGCATCGACAATGGTCGAGCCGAGTGCGCCAACTACAACAAGCAGAGATGTTGGTGAAAATACGCAAACTACACTATCAACAGAGGCTGGAGATTTTATAAAAACTACAGCATCGACAATGGTCGAGCCGGGTGCGCCAACTACAGCAAGCAGAGATGTTGGTGAAAATACGCAAACTACACTATCAACAGAGGCCGGAGATGTTATCAAGACTACAGCTTCGACAATGGTCGATCCGGGTGCGCCAGCTGCAACAAGCATAGATGTTGGTGAAAATACGCAAACTACACTATCAACAGAGGCCGGCGATGTTATCAAGATTACAGCATCGACAATGGTCGAGCCGGGTGCGCCAACTGCAACGAGCAGAGATGTTGGTGAAAATACGCAAACTACACCATCAAAAGAAGCCGGAGATGTTATAATAACTACAGCATCGACAATGGTCGAGCCGGGTGCGCCGACTACAACAAGCAGATATGTTGGTGAATATTCGCAGACTACAGCATCAACAGAGGTCGAAAATGTAAACACTACACAATCTACGAAGTACGGAGCAGGTGCGCTGGATACATCTGCCCTGACAACGCATAATGCAGGAACAACTGCACCAACCACAGGCAGTATTTCAGAAGGCGCTTCAAATGACGGAGTATCATCGACGCTGACAACCCGTTCTGACCCCAAAGAGGGTGAGTAATACATATTTAAATTTAAATGTGGTATTTTTGATTTTTATGAATATGTGGTTTGTTCTGAATGTTTAGAATTGTTCATAGTTTGAGTCTTTTTACACACCGGTTGTGGTTCGGTACGCCGCATTTTAGGAAGGTGAAATATCTGTTGCTGTCTTGAGGGTTGTCAATTGGAGCTGGAGAGTTATGGCCGCATGCAGTGACTACCTCAGCAAGGATAGTTTTATTCCGCCTCTTGAGTAACAACAATATAATCGGTATTCTAGTCGAAATTAGTTACGTGCAACCCGTAGCAGTACACTTGCGAGCTAATGATTTATCACCTAATTAAATCTTCCAGCAGCTAGTACTTAGCTACTGTGCAATCATGACGCTTTATATACTATGTTGCCATGACTATTTTAAATTAAACATTTTTATAGTTGAGAAAGAAAGCTAATAGATGTGGCCCTAATATACAGGGTATTTAAATTTCAGGTTTACTCCTCTTACAATATTAACCTATCGAGGATAAACCGAATCCCTTGCATCTAGCTTTTGCTTCCAAGTTGACGCTTATGGAAGGACAAGTGTACTTGACAGTTTTTTTCAGCAAATTACATTTATTGTTTAATCGTTCACTTGGATACGCGCTAAATAAACCCGTATTCACGTTATTATCCGTCTAGGACTGGTTGCTGGGGCGTAGCCGGGAGACGGGTAGGCTTCATGGCAGTTTAGTATTCAACGCCCTTGTCACCGAAATGTAAACGACCGATATTCGTGGTGCCACTGTTCACACCTAGATACATAGACCCTCTCTACCCTGAACCTCCCAACCCCAAATCCAAAAATGCTGGCAACATAATTGACCTCATGTGTTAGTTCATACTGCATCAGTAGTCGCTTCTGTAAATGGGACATACAATATGTATATCTAACAGCGACGACATTGAGCAAGACGGATTCTGCTATTTCTGCATCTTCAAAAGAAACCACATCAGCCAGTCCTTCTGAGGCGCCGACATCAACCGAATCATCACATGTTACTGACAGGAGTGAGTATTCAACCTTTAGCTTGGAATCCAGAATGGTCAGAAGTTACAAAGCGATCGGTGTTTCGTACTTCTAAGTCGCAAAAACTATATCATGCCTTAACAGATATATATATAATTTTTTTAGGAATGGCGTGCAAAATACCGCCTCACCGGTTTTATTCTCTCGCGTGAGTGTCTTTGAAGCGCTGCAAGCGAGGCGCTGGAATGTTGTCAAGATGTTTTATTTCTATTACCTGAGGCGGGAAACGGGATGAACCGAAATATTTCAAAGTGCAAGGGGCACGAAAAACAAAAACACAGTCCGTCTATGTTATATTTTCTTTCGCTTCAACATTGACTTCAGAATACATATATATTTTTACGGGGTTGTTGTTGAAGGAGCAGTCCAGGAGTCAGAATCTGACGGTCGGCTTTTATTTCGAACCGCCGGGCTCGGCCCGAGCTGTCGCGCGCCCTAGCCATTTTTCAGGCGCGTTCCTTCTCTTTTTCTAAGTAACATTACCCCACCCCCTTTTCCTTTTTTTTTTTTTTCGCAGTCGTTTCGACCGCAATAAGCCCTTTTTTTCGTCGTTTTTAAGTAAAGAAGGTTGCGGTGGTTAGTGCGGTGGGTCGGGGAGTGTGGGGCTTCATCAGGGCGACGTGGACTATATCGGAGGTCGCTCGGCGTTGGTCAGCACTGTCTTGCTGTTGCTGCAGATAGTATAAAATGTCGGACAGTTTGCGGATGACTACGAAAGGGCCGATGTAGCGGTGAAGGAATTCGGTAGCCAAGCCCTGGTGACGGTGAGGCGTTCAGAGTAAATCAAGGTCGACTATTTCATACTAAACGGGGTGGTGAGTCTTGTTATACCGTCGGCATTGGCGTTGCTGGGATGTACGTGTGCGTAGCCATGCCAAAGTATGGCTCTCCTTTGGTCCGCCACATGAGTGCCGAAGTAGCGCCATACTTGAGCCATAACTGCCAGAGCAGCGCCTAATTTGGGTATTTCGGACATGCCAAAGTTTGGCTTTTCTCTAGTCCGCCACAGTTGTGCCAGAGTAAGTGCAAGATTTCAGCCAAAACTGCCGAAGTAGATCCTAATTTCAGAATTCGGGGCATGCCGAAGTTTGGCTCTTCTCTGGCTAGCCATTGGAGTGCCAGAGAAGTGCCAAAAGTGCTAAAGAAAGCGCAGAGGCCTGCCGAAGTTTGGAATTTCTTTGGTGTGCCACATAAGTGCTCTTTCACGCGCTCCAGAAGAAAAATTTTAATTAAATAGGTGTTGGGAACACGATTGTCAGATCTCACCATCTGGGTTCCCATGCAGCACTGCGATACTTGGCAGTGTAGTGCCAGTAGTGGCTGAAAGTGGGTTACAATATCGCTCAGATGTCTAGTTAAGAACCACCATTCAAAATCCGGCAGGTATTGACGCGTAGAGTCGTTTTTTCCCGGTCTAGTGTTCACGCAAAATGTTATGAATACTCTACTATGCGTCTCCTCCGTATTGGCCGGATGTCGTGCAAGTCTGTGTTGTATAGGACGTTGCACATCATTTGTCGCATATCAATGACATACATCGACGAACGAAATTTTTTCGAACACTCCCAGAAGTTTATTAAATCTCTGTCATTCTACACAACTTATTCTCGACATATTTACAAAGGTCATACTTCTCTGCCAACTGAAGACCGAGATATAAAATATAATGAACACAGATGAACAAGCAAAATTTATAAACTAAAAAAAGAAAACGCGAACATTGAAAGGAAAGCAGAACTACTGTGGGAAGCATGCTTGCAGTGTAATCACTAATAAGAGCGATATCATGTAGTCCTTGATAAATGCATAATCCAACTTGGGCAGCCGAAAAACACAGTCGAGAAAGAAGGTTGCGCAAATTCAACTGATGTCTTGTCGTCGGCGATGAGCAGTTTTTGTCGAAGCCCGTCCAACAAACGCAGCACAAGAATTCCACGAACGTATTCCGGCCATTTACAACCAAAAAGCACGGCTAGCTCTGCAACGCACGAAAGCAACAGAACACTGAAGAGGGCATTTCGAAAACCGGACCTACGTGGCCCGCCTCTTTCTATAACTTCGCAAACGGCGCAAACAACAGCCCCAAAGATGCCATCAGCGACAGCGCGATAGAGAGTCACGTGTCAAACTTTAGGGAGTGAGATCACGACTCACGCGTTTCGCTCCACCCTTCTGATTTGCCTAATGCGGCTGTCGCGCTCGCCGACAGCCACACGAAGACACAAGAGCAGGTGGGGAGGCTTAGCAAAAGGCGAGGTCGAAGGGGCACCAACAATGTAGCTAAGCTCCTTCTGCATTATGGGCGGAAAGTGAAAACTTTCAATGCCTCGTACCCGAGTCTTGGAATGTCACCTTTGGTAAGTGGGGGAGGCGGGGGGGGGGGGGGGGGGGGGGGGGGGGAGGGGAGGATTGAAAGACTGTGAGGGAAAGCAGTGTCTGGTTTGATGCTGTCAAATGCTTCAAGTTTACTTCAAGAAAAAATCGTCCCCGCCAGGATTCTATCTAAGATCCCCCGAGTGTGAAGCGGGCGCAATACCGCAGAGCCACTGTCGCTCTCGCGTTTTGTTATCGCTAAGATTTGACACTACTCAATCGCAATGCAAGACACGCACACAGCAATGCTCGCTTTTGCAATGAGCCGCCTAATAATGATATCTGTTGAGGAGACGTGCGCAGATTAGTCCAGCGCAGCGCTTGCTTCACGACAGCAGTTTCTGCAACGTCGAACCATTTTCACTGCGCGTCCGTATATTGGCGTGTGTTCCTACGTGCGAACACAACAATCCGGCGAAATCTGCGTTTGCAAAGCCTGGTCCAGCCGTGGCAAAACATTCAGTCTACCTTTGGCCTGGAGAAATCAAGAAACACACGAAATAAAATCAAAAGTGGCGAGCAGAATAAAACTTGATTTCAATTTAGTTAAGTTGCAGACCACCCGTGTACATCCAATGCCTCATCAGCCGAACTGCAAGGCAGTAAGCCAAGTTCTGACACTTGTTTGGCGACTTTGGCCCGTAGCTGCCAGATGACAGCCGAACCATAAGGAAGTGAAGCCTAACTTTGGCACTTGTTTAGCTACTTGGGACCAAAGATGCCAGATGCGAGCCGAACTACGAGGCAGCCGAATTACGAGACCCAGACTCTGGCACATCTGTGGCGATTTTGGCCCGAAGGTGCCAAATGACAGCCGAACTATCAAAAAGTGGTCTAACTTGGGGCATATGTTTGGCAGTTTTTTGCCCAAAAATTGCAAATATCAGCCAAACTACCGGGCAGTAAGCTTGACTCTGGTATTTATTAGGCGATTTAGGCCCAAAGATGCCAGATGACAGCCAAACTAGCAGGCAGTGAAGCCTAACTTTGGCACTTGTTTGGCGAGTTAGTGCCGAAATACCCAGACTCTTGCCAAGGAAGGTCAGGTTTGGCTCTACTTTCGCTTCTTCGGGCTTTTCTAGGCCTAAACTTCCAGACAAAAGCCAAATTTTGGCCCAGAACTCTGTGCCACCGGGGTGTACATTTACTGTATATAAAAGTTATACTTTAGCAACTCTACTCCGGGTCTGTTTCCTTGGGGCCATGACAACAGCGAGCCACAGCCCCGACTCCCGCTTGCGCACCTGAGATCGTCAGTACACACACACACACACACATATATATATATATATATATATATATATATATATATATATATATATATACAACGGGAATGGTGGTGGGAGGCCGACGGCGTGGGTATGTAATTGAGAAGAAAAAACCGTTGGCGAAAGCAGCAACAACGGACGGTTTATTTTTTTATTATAAACCATCCGTTGTTGCGCTGTTTTCACCAAGGTTTTTTTCTTCTCAGCTATATATATATATACAAAAACGAACACATGAAGATAAAGGAACCGTACTTAATGCTATGCATGAAACAATTAAACGGCGGAGCCAGGATCCTTGCTCCACCGTTTATTTTGTCTTTCGGCGGGTAGGTAAAACATATATATTCGTTTACTTCCTTTTCGGAGACCACGTACGATGATGAAGAGTGCCCGTGATTTATATTTAAAAAGAACGGGGCTCTTGATTCTCGTAGATGATGATGATACCATTATCCTAAAGCTCCCAAACAAAAATAAATGTACATGTACACCTGACGAGACAAACGGTGCGAGGATTTCCGCAGCACAGCGAGCACGTACCACGTCCCAGCGAGCGTCGTACCGCGTTCCATGTGGCGGCGTGTGCTTGTAAGGCACCTCTGATTGGATAGATTTCGTTTCTTGTGCATGAATAAGACAAATAGAAAACGCCAGAAAGCCAAGGTGGAGTGTTGGAGTGGTCACCACATCCGATTAGTGACTGGGAGGCCCACAGTTTATATCCTGGCTCCGACGTTTATTTTGGCTTACGGCGGGTGCGTAAAAGTTTAATTCTTTGATTCGAACGCTTTGCTAAAATCTGTGAAAATCTCTAAAGTTAAAAGTGTATTCTCAAATTTTTTTATTATTAATTCCTTCTGTACTAGTAAAGCTGTTTCTGTGGATATATGTTTCCTAAAACCGAATTGCGATTCCGTCAACAAGGAGTGTTTGCCCACAAAATTGATAAGTCAAGAGCGCATTATTTTTTCAAACGGGCTTTGAAAAAATGGAAAGGTTGGAAATCGGACGGTAGTTACTCAGATCATTCCTATGCCCACCTTTATAAAGAACAGAAACTTTAGCAACCTGTATCCTCTTCGGGAATATACCGGATGATAATAAAGTTATACAAATGAGTTAAGCATAGAAGTATCAAATCCAAGACAAATTTCACAGGTCCAATTTGGAGATGCTGACAGTCATGACTACGGCTATTTTTTATGTCATAAATGTGGAGAAAACTTCGCCTTCATCAGTAGGATTAAAAAAAAAATTGTTTCATTGCAGGTGGTAAGATTATTTATGGCTGTACTGTTAAAAGTACTGTTTCCCACACTTACAAAATAGTCATTGAA